CACCTTGCCCTCACTAGATCTCCCCTGCCAGCCTCCCTGCACACTTTCCTGGAGGAAAGACACTAATGGATATATAAATAAAGCAACCTGTGCACTCTTCTCCTGCTCAGAGCTTGTATAACCTGTGGGTGACCCCTCCCAGTCGTCCCCAAACCACAGCCCCAGTAGGAGCTGCCGCCGCTGCTCTGGCATTTTTATGAATGGCCGTGAGCCCAGGGCAGGGAGGGAGCGTGGACTTGGAACAGCTCCATCCCTTCCACCCTGCTAATCTTGACAAACCATCAGCGTGTGGTTTCGGAACCACAGATAGGGCTGTCTGACCTCTGCAAGTCCCTGCACTTTCCCACGGAGGAAGGGGTCCTGTTCTCAGCCCCCCCTGCAGCTCCCCCCTCAGCCTGGGCAGACCCAGGTGCCCCCACCCCACAGCTCAGGGGACTCCACTGCAGGCACAGCCCTCGGGAGCGGGCCAGGGGCTGGTTCAGAACAAAACCTCAGCAGCCTCCCAACAAGGCAGGTGTTGTGACCTTGCCTGGGCTTCTGATGGACCAGGGGTGCCTCCTGCCTGCACATCCCCATCGAGGCCGATGCTCCACGCCCAGCAGGGAGCTGTGACGGGGTAGAAGCATTTGCTGGGAGCCAGCAAGAGCTTCCAGTCCTGCAGCCAAGCCATGACCACGGTGGACTTCCTTGAGCTCACTTTTATCTGGGAATTGAAACACCTGGAGAACTCCTGGCCCCACTGGGATCACTGCTGTCCTTGGACTGGTGTCCCACCGCAGTGCTGTGGCGTTTGGGACATGCAGCTTGCCTGCCAGTTTGGGCAAGGCAGTGTTCCCATTCCTCCCTGGGGCTGGGGAAGCAGCCTGGCATTGCTGTGGGATCTTCCCATGGATTCTGACATGGGAGAACAAGCCCGGGTGGGTCCTGTTGGACATGCACCTGGGAAAGCTGGGCTTTCCAAAAGGCTCCCTCTCACACAGACACAGACACAGACACAGCCGCTGCCAAGGGAAGAGGCCTCTGTGAGTGCCAATTCAAGGAATGCCTTTGATCCAGTGGGAATCATTAGGGAGAAACTCTGCCTCTAAATTGAGCAGCTCTCTTGCCTTGCCACTTTGGGAAATGAATTTGTACTCGGAAAAACTCAGGCTGGGAGAGCTCTTGGGAAGCCATCCAATCCATTTCCCTACCCCAAATTGGCCCTGACAGGTTTTTTTTTTAATCTAACCTTTCCTTTAAAATCTCCAGATGGCTCAATACAGTCTCCTCCAGGGCTACATTCATTTTACTAGCAGATATTGTTTTATTATTAATATTCAACTTAAATTTCCCTTGCTGCAATCAGCTTCTACCCCATGCCAATAGAGAGGAAATTGCCCTCTTATTGCCCAGCATGACAGGGGCTTTCCCCAGTGGTACCTGTTTAAAGCTCCAGATTAGGGTGGACAAGGCTGGTTCTGGCCAAGACCAAGCTGAGTTGCAGAGTTCCTGGAGTGTCCTATCACTTTTCCTGTCCCTGTGCTGCCTGGGGGAGGGTTGGGTGGTACAGGAGTTTACACCCCCTGCACCCTGTGCAGGCACCAAACGTCGTACCCAGGTGGGAAGGGGAGGTCAGAGGCTGCTGACCCGTGAAGGGAGGCAATTATCCAGCTGATGAGGCCATGCAAGTGTTAATTAAAAAGCATGGGAAGCAGAAAAGGTCACTGTTTGGTGTCATCTGCTCGTGAAATTAGCCTTGTGGTGGCTCACCCAGCCCTCCCCAGGAGACAGAGCAGGGGAATCGCTGCCCACAGTGCCTCTGCTCTTGCTCTCATCTCCTCTGGCTGAGCCCCTATTTCTGGGTGCCTCCTGCATTCTGCAAAATGTCTTCTGTTGGATTCTCAGTTTAGAAAAACTTCCTGTTCATTCCTGAAGTGGTCTGGAGCATAGCTGTGCAGGGTGAGAGGGGTAACCAAGATAACCAGCTCCTGGCAGTCCAGGTGGAGAAAGAAACTCCCTTGGCACATGCAGGAGGTGCTCACACAGGGGCACTGATGCACTCAGCTCTCCAGGTCAGGCACCCTGTGAGCAGGTCTTGGGTTTGCCTGGCATCCAGATTTGATCAGCATCATCAGCTCTGATCTGATCCCCCTTGCTCTCCAGGCAAGGCCAGAAGGGAAAACAGACCTTTCCTCTGGGAAACACCAAGGTTTGGTGCTCCCTGACCAATGAGCAGGTCTGCAGAGTCTTTTGGCAGCAGATCAGTGTGGCAAAGCCCTGCCACTCTGCTGGGGAGCTCAGTGCTCATCATGGGTTTTGTAGCTCTGGGAGATGGGGCTTGGCATCTTCTCTGTCAACCCAAGGATATGCCCATGTTGGGAGGATGCCCTGCTAGGAAAGGCCTCCTGTTTCCTCTCCACATGAACCTCTCTCCACAGCCAGGATGCTGTGCCAGGCTCCTCATGGGCACCTCCTGTGCCCTGCCAGGGCTCACGTTGTGATGGGGATGGGCAGCAGCACAGCTGAGCATCAAAGAGTCCAACCTGAGCTGCTCCCTGAGAAGTGCAACATCACCAATCCCACTTCCCTGCATCCCTGTGTCTCATGGTTGGACTAGCTCATGGCTAACAAGGCACATGAGAGTTTTCCCTGTGGTTTGGGGCACTCATAATGGCTCTCTCCTGTGTGGATTCTTTGATGTCTTATAAAAGAGTTGATGATGAATCCATTTCCTCAGTTGGGACCTAAGTTTGGCACTCTCTTGTCTACTCAGATGTCTTTTTTCATAAACAATTAGACAATAGAACAACCAAATGGGATGTAGCCTCTCTGAGGATCCTGCCTCGCTCTGAAATCTGGCAGAAAGTGATCCGGTGCTTCAAAGGCGGGGTTGGACAGCAGAGACAGGCAGACAGACACCCCCCTCCCCGAGTGCAACAGCTCCCACTTCCTTCCCTTTCACAGCCAGGCTAGTGCGAGTACCCTTCACTCTGCCCTGTCATGCCCGTTCAGCACAGCACAGGCTCAAGGGCCAGGGCTGAGGGCTCTCTCTGAAACTCTGCAACACCAGATGTTTTTTTGCGGAGGCCTCAGACACACACGTGCAGCTTGCTGTTATTAGAACTGGCTCTCACTCCCTGCGCACAGGGGAAAGAAATTAAGGCTGTGCTCCGGGTTCATTCTCCACTTTGGCATCCAGCGTTAAACCAGGCGGGCTCGGTCAGCTTTTGTTTGTTTTCGTGGAGTTGCTTATGGGCCGTCCCTCCTGCAGCATCCCAGTGGAGTGGAACAATCCAGTGCACCAGCTGGATGGGAGCTGCTTCATGTGCTGCCAAATGTACCACGTACAAACCACTCTGCAGCACCTCTGGGGTGCAGCCTGACAGGCACACGGCGGCTCAGCAACACCCTGCAGCAGCTTGAACCAAGAGGATGCACTGCTTCATTGCTCAGGCTTCCTCTTGGTTTTCCACTTGGTCTGTCCAGCCTTCCTCCCCCGTCACGGCTCTCCAGTGGATTTTTCTTCTCCTGATAATGTTTCTGTGCTCACCTCAGACTGAGCCAAAGGCTCCTTTTAACTGAAAAAGGCCGTTTGTCTCACTATCTTATCATCTCTGTCTCAGTGTCAGCCCAAGCCTTGATGGCTCCTTCCCCCAGCAGCAGGTTTCATTCCTTCATTTCAGATTCCACCCAGCCACCCTTTCTCAGCCATTTCTTGTTTTCCTCCAAGAGTTTCAGAGAACCATGGCACTCCTTGTGATGCTTCCCTAGCTCGGGGCTGGTCTCTGCCAGCCAGGACAGGAGTTCATCAACCCCCTGGTGAGGTCCTGGTGAGATGCCAAGGGTGTAAGTGGCCCTGGGATAGCGGGATGCTCAGCTCAGTCTCTGCCTGTTTGACAAAATCTCCTGCTCTCTGCCATGGCCTCAGAGCTGCAGGGATTCAAGACAACCTCCCCTGGGTAGCACCAGGGATGGCACTCCCTCCCAAAATGCCCAGTGCCCCAGGTGGGGCCCTTTCCCCCCTGCCCAGCAGCAAAGGCTCCCGCTGTGGTCAGTGGTGCAGAGCCCGGGGAATGCTGTAGTGGTGCTCAGCACCCAGCACCCTCTGTGGTGGGTCACCTGTGGGTGGGGGCAGCAGGGGGCAGGTTAGCAGGGATCTCTGCAGTGCAGGAGGAGTAGGAGACACGAAACTGCCTCCCAGAGCTACACAGGAGGAAACGAGTTTGGCTGTGGGAGATCCAGGGATCTGTAGGGAAAGACAAGGGATTCCCCCTTCTCTTCTGCAACCTGGATCCAAAGCCAAAATCTACTGGAGAGGGCTCCAGAACAGCACCACCTCTCTCTTCTCTGTCCTGCAGAACCCTGCGTGATGCTCTGCTGGATGCACCAAGCTGGTGCCACAAATAATTGACAACTGCCAGTCTCCAGCACCGCAGATCGCCTCGACACGCGGCGCTGAGGTCCCTCCATCCTTTCTCTCTCCTGCGCTCCGGGATGAGGCACAGCAGGACCAGGGGAGGACCAGGATCCGGGGGGCTCCGGACCCCGCTGCACCTGCTGCCCCGAGGGGGCAAACGCCGGGTACGCTGGTGGGGGTGGGCAGCGGGAGAAGGGGCGGGGAGGGGGCCGGGAGGGGTGCGAGCCCCTTCCAGCCCCGCGGGGGTCGGCAGCGCTTCGCCCGCTCTGCTCCGGGGGCTGCAGCACCGCTGGCGGGGGCTGGACGGGGGGAAGGGGGTCGAGGGGCTTCGCTTTGTCTCCCCGCCCGCGGGGCCGGGGTCGGTGGCTGTGGGAGGGCGGGAGGAGGAGCGCGGACCGCCCCCGCCGCCGCCGTACAAAAGGGGCCGGGCGGGCGGCGGAGCGGCGTGTGCCGCCGGGCAGAGCGGGGCAGGGACAGGGACAGGGACAGGGACAGGCAGGGTCTGATCCTCTCCTCAGCGCCGTTCCGACGGGGATCGCGACCGTCCCGTCCCGTCCCATCTCGTCCCGTCCCGTCCCATCCCGCTCCCCGTCGGGCCGGGACCATGCGGCGGGCGCGGGCGCTGCGCCGCCGCGGAGCGCTGCTCGCCTGCATCTCCCTGGGGACACTGCTGGCCCTCGCCGACGCCAAGGGCTCCTTCTACCCCCCCGCAGCCCCCCTGCCCTACGGCGGCAGGTACAGCCTCTACACGGCCGGCTCCAGCCCGCAGCTCGGCCCCGGCAAGCCCGTGGGCAAGCACAAGTAAGCGACTCCCTGCGCGACCCCCCAGCCGCGGTGGCGCAACCATCCCGGGTCTCCGTCGGGCATCCCTTACCGGGCACAGACCGCGGCCACCGCTACCGGCCACGCGTCTGGCTCTGCGGGAGCATCCCCGGGGCAGCGGCTGCCGCGGGCACCCCGTGTGGGCACCACCCCCGGTACCAACCGCGGGTACATCTCCCAGGGCTCGCCAGCGGGCATCCCTGGCTGGGCAGGGGTCCCTGGGTACCGGCCGCGGGCATCCCCTGCCCCACACCTTCTGCCGGGTACCGAGCAGGGGCTGGCGGCGGGGCAGCAGTGTCCGGGTGTCTCGGTGCCCTCTCCATCTAGAGGAGGGTCCGGGAGTTCTGTTGCCAGGAGGGAGCGGGCTGCGTGCGGTGGGGACGGGTGTGCTGAGGTCCCGTGTGGGACGGGGCTGGGGAGGTGGGGATGGGGATGCCCGTGTGCGGTTTTGGGGTAGGTGCACGTACCTGTTCTGCGTGACAGGGGCGCGGGGGGTGATGTGCGGGAGGGAAGGGTGGCAGCACTCAGAGAGACGTGTGAAAACACATGTTGGTTTGGAGGGAATTTGCCCCTTTGCTTGTAAAACACATACGTACTAGAGTTTAAATAAGTTTTCAAGAAACCTGGAAAGCTGAGGCAGTGAGGAATGTGGGCTTTACACATACTATAGACTTTTTCCATTCGATTGCAGAAAAGCTGCTACACTGGGGGCGGGGAGGGGGTGTCGCTTCCCTCTCTGCTTGTTTGCTCAGAGTGGTTTCTGCCGGGCTCCTTTGAAAAGGGGAGGATGTGGTGTTAGGAACAAGCTGAAATGAATAAAGTAACACTGCAGACAAACAATACTGGCAGTGCCAGTGAGAGCTTTCAAAAACCCGTAACATTTTCCAGCTGCTCACTCTAAAAACATCAGGCTGCAGCTATAAAACTGCTTGCCACAGGTGTGTGAGAAGGGAAGGGGGTTCTGAGAGGGAGAGTGAGCCAGAACCACACTTACCCAAGAAGTTGGAGGTAGGCACTCTTCATTAGTAGTGACTGGTAGATCTGCCTGCACTGGCTATGAGCTGACTTAGAGATGGTTGGCAGTGTGTTTGTAAGCAGGTCCTGGATTCATGGAGAGGGAGCAGAGACAGAGCCAGGGTGTTGGGGGGAGGATGAGCCTGCTCACACCTTGCTGCTGCACGGAGGGAGCTCCTGCTCCATGTGGGCTGTTGGAGATACCTCCTCTGGGCCTCTGGACAGGGACACTGGGAAGCAGTTCTCCCTCTATGAGCTGGTTCCTGTGACTCTGGGCTGCCTGGCCACAGGCTGGGATGCAGTTGGAGTCCCCTGGCATCCCCATCACGTGGCCTGTGGAGAGCAGCCTCAGGGGCTGAGCACGGAAATGAGCTGCAGGGCCTCAGCCCAGCTCTCATGGGCTTGTCATAATGATGGTCCAGATGATGTTGAGACTTCTGGCAGGTGGAGGTGAGGGAAGGGACTGTGGCAGTCAGGTTGGAGCAGAAGGGTTTGTGGAGAAGGACTGTGGTGTCTCCTGTGTGAGGGAGTGTGTGTGCCCGTGTGTGTATGTGCACAGGGTGGGGTGTGCACAGCCCTGCCCACCCCTGTGGCACACTCAGGGGACAGAGCAGCAGCCCTCTGGCTCACCCTGAGTGGGGAAAGATCAGTGAAGGAGGGACAAGCACTGCTGGCAAACAGGTGAAGACAAAGTACACTCCCTGCCCACCCACACCAAGCCCCCAGCTCACACAGAGCCATGTCCTGCCGCCTCACTGAGCACCTCCCTGCACCTGCAGCTCCGCTGGCCCATCTGCTCTGTCCCGCTGACCCTGCTCCTCAGCTCTGCTCTGCACTCGGTGCCTGTGCCCTCCTCTCCTCCCGCTCTGCCGTCTGCCACATGCCCCTGTCCTTAATCCCTGCCTCACCACACATCCCTGCTGTCTCTGTCCCCATGGACCAAGTCCATCTGCTCCTGCCAGCAGCCCTGGAACAGCCTTGGCCTCCATCTGTCCCACCAATACTCCTGCATCCTTCCCACGCAGCCTTCCTCCCACCCAGCTTATCCTGAACTCCTGGATTTGCTGCTTGGCTCAGGAGAGATCCTGTGCTGGAGCTGACTGGTACCTGTGACACCCCACTGTGGGCACCATGGCAGGGGGGAGGAGTCTCTGCTCCTTGTACTAACTGTCCTAGAGGTCTGAAGAGGTTTCCAGCCTGATCCATCATGGATCTGGTCCGTGTCCCTGCCTCCATGGCAGAGGGACCCACGATGCTGCAGCCCTGCAGAGTGGCCAGTCTGCATCTCCTCTGCTGACTGCAGCATCATGCCTGCCACAGTACCCACTGCCTGGGGGGACTTTTGAGCTGCTTTTGAGTTGTCCCTGCCCTGGCAGCACTCCAGGAGCTGCAGCAGGACAGACAACCCCTGCCAGGCGCTGCTGGAGCTATTCTGGGATGCTGTTCCCATAACTGCTGCTGCTGGTGGGGTTCTGCTTGTCGTCCCAGCCTGTCTCACCACTCAGTCCATCTGTGCCAAGCACAGCCCAGCTCTGGTGACACCACCAGCAGTGATGGCAGTGTGGCTGTGACTGTGACAGCAGCCATGCTCCTGCAGCGTGGTGGTGATGCCCCCGCCCAAGCAGGGGGGTCCCTCCAGCTCCTGCTGCCTGAACCTCGCCAGCAGTGCCAGACCTGCCTGGGGGCTGGGGGGGACAGCTGGGGTGCCACTGCCTGGCGGGCAGGGGGTGACAGTGTCTCGCTGTGCTTCCCCCCAGGAGCTACTGTGCCTACGTGGTGCAGCGCAACGTGACGTGCACGCTGCAGGACGGGGCCGAGAGCTACGTCAAGGCCGAGTACCACAAGTGCAGCTGGGGACCCAAGTGCCCGGGGAAAGTGCTGTGAGTACGGGGGGCACTGAGCACGGCTCCCTTCCCCCCCAGCGTCAGCTCCTGAGGCTCCCCTGCCACCTTTCCGGCCATAAAACAAATTTCCACAGGGTAGTGAGACGACTGAAAGGCTGTTCCTGGACAAGGCGGTCAATGGCAGGGCAGTGGTGCTGGGAGGAGGCAAGACAGGATCTGTCCCTCCTTAGAAGATGTGTCAGGGGAGGTTTAGATTAGATATTAGGAAAAGGTTTTCACCCAGAGGGTGACTGGGCCCTGGAACAGGCTCCCCAGGGAAGTTAATCACAGCACCAAGCCTGCCAGAGTTCAAGTAGTGTTTGGACAATGCTCTCAGGCACATGGTGTGATTTTTGGAGGCATCCTGTGCAGGAGCTGAAATGATCCTTGTGGGTCCCTTCCAGCTTAGGATATTCTATGATTCAGAAATAAATCAGGAATCCATGGGAAGTGGGGAGGTGCCTGTGCATGTGTGCAGGGAAGCATTTTGTCCCAGACCTGCAACCTGGCAGAGTGATGGCAGCTCACTGAGAACCTGACTGAGAGGAGGAGGGAACGGAGCCCCTGGCTGGGGATGGCTCAGTGCTTCCTGCCCTAGGAAGATGTTTGCAGAACTCTCTGCCACCCTGTCAGTGTTGGAGGGAAACACCGCACTGTGCCACGGCCGGAGCTGCTGCTGGAGCAGAGAGGACACTTGGGCTTTGTGCTTCTCCACCCTCGGCAGCTCCGGCTGGGAATGCTGCTCCATGTGGAAATGCTGATCTCCTGCATCCTCCCCAGGCCCGAGGAGTGGAGCAGAGCTGAGCATGGAGGAAAACTGGGATGAGAGGGGCTTTTGTTGGAGCCTGGGACCCCTCCTGTGGCAGCAGGCTGGGACTCTCCGTGTGCCAGTGGTGCCATGGGCTCTGCACAGAGCCTCTGCCAGCAGAGAGGGGCAATTGGACCCACTTTTTAACTTGTTCTTTCCATCAGGATGTTCTGCATGGCCTTAGATGCTGCATCCATAGACCAGAGGGAAACATGGTTTTTCCACGTGCTGGGGCCATCAGCTCATGTTTGTGCAGCTGCAAATAGTACTTCCCCTTGCTGCTGCCTGGAACAGGGAGAGAGAGGTTTGGAGGGTCTGGAGCTCTCTGAGCTCCTCTGCAGAGTCCAGCATGACACAGAGAAGCTGCCCTGCCTTCTGGATGCCATCCTCCTCCTCGCCTGCACCCCCTGACAGTGGCTGGGAGCAGCACTGTACCTGTACTCCTGGGGTACATTCAGGCAGGTTTCCACACACCACAAGACAAGGAAAGACCATAGAAACTCAGCAGCGCCTGTGAAAAGGAATACCAAGAAGAGGAGCTTCTTTTGAAGCTGTCCTGTGCCTTTGGGAAATTCACGTGGAGAAATCTTGAAGTGAATCAAGGAGCAGAGGATTTGGGTTCCCTTTATGCCCCTGCCCTGCGGTTCGTTCCGAGGCTGCATCGCACTGGGAGTCGTGTGGAAGTGGCACTGCCAGGGGCTGCAGCCTGGGCCAGGGACACTGAGGATTCAGGCAGGGCCATGGATGACAGGGGATGTGCCCTGTGTGCTGCACTGAGCAATGGATAACTGGGAGTGCCTGCTGCAGCCCCTCTGTGCTGCCCCCTCCTCTGAGACCTTCCCCTGGACGTGCTGGAGAAGAACAGGGCCCTGATTGTGTGTGTTGTTGCAAAACAGCAAACTTCAGGGTTTTCAGGCCCTGGTTAAATTCAGATTAGAAATTTCCAAAAGGCAGGTTCAAAGCACTGATGTTCAGAGGTGGTGAGAAATGCCCCATCTTCAGCCCTGTGCAGCTCAGCTGGGCTGGTGGGGGGACACAGGTGCTGGGGGGGTCCTGTCCCATCCCTGTCACCTCACAGCAAATTGCCACGGAGGAGCAGGGAACAGCTGAGTCCTCCAGATGGGCTGATGGGACCCCATGCAGAGCAAGAGCAGAGAGGGAGGGTGTTGGTGTCCCACTGGGCAAGGAGGTGGGCTTGCACCTTGTGTGCTGGTTGTGGGGGCACAGATGTTTTAGTGCCCAAACTGGTGATGGAGAAACTTCCCAGGGCATTCCCAGCTGGGGCAGGAGGCAGTGTAAGGAGCCATCCCTCTGTGCACACCCCAGAGCAACGGCCCAGGGACCCTCACCAGGCCAGCCCAAGCCCCTTTAGGCTTTCAACACTCACAGAGGCTTCAGGACACAATTACTAGGAAATTCTGTAGGTCAATTCAATGTGCAAAACACTTCCACAAGCTGTCTGCTTCCCTCTTGGAAGTGATCTGATTTTGCAGGGGTTTTGAAATCACTGCCATCGTTTCACCTTGTGGTCTCCTGGGCCAAAGGTTGTCAAGGGGTGTGGCATCAGTCACAGTGGTCACCAGCTGACTGCAGCACTACACTTACAGCTGCTGTTCTTAACTAACAACAGGTATCCCAGGCCAAAAGCACTCCAAAAAAACCGTGCTGTAATGCTGCACCCAGCTGGGCTGCAGTAAGAGCTGCTGGAGGAGGTGGGCCATGCTCTGCAGGTGCAGCACAAGGGTCTCAGCCAGGCTTTCCCCTGTGCACAGATCCCCCACACCCAACAGGACTCCACCCTGCTCTGCCTTACTGCTTGATGAGGTTGTTGCTTCTCTAAACTGTCCCCTCTCTCCCCCCTCTCCTGGAAAGGTACCGCACGTTCTTCAGGCCCAAATACAAGATCGGATACAAGACAGTGACCGAGCTGTCCTGGAGGTGCTGCCCAGGCTTCATGGGAGAAGGGTGCCACGACAGCCCCACCGACCAGCCCGGCCTTCTGCCCCAGCATCCCAGCCCGAAAATGCCTCCTGGGCAAAACATGTTTCCAATGCCCAGACTGCCTCCCTATCCAAAAAGCCACCCTGACCTGTTTCCAGGACCAAAGAAGAATCAGTATGGTGAGATCTCGCTCCTGTTTCACATCTGTAGGCCACACATCACCAGCACACACTCAACCCTCCTGGTTCTTTCTGTTCCAGCACAGGGCATGAATCTGGCAAAAACTCAGTGGGTGGTGTGCTTTCTGATCAGAGATCTGAGATTTGATTCCCTTGAGGACCACTTGCTTTTTTAATTATGTCTCCTTCAAAACATGCAGCTTCAAAATTGCCTTTCCTCATTGCTTTGGAGCATTTTCCTATTAATTTTGGGGCTGATAGAGGGTGTCTCAACCCAAAGCTCCCCTCGGCTATTCTCATCACCTGCTGTTTAACTTGGGAGCAGAGGGCTGGATCCCAAAAGGAAAGAGGGTTTTCTGGTCAGCTTAAGGAGAGATGGAGAGGGTGGGTGGGCTGAGATTTTGCTGAAATGGCAATTTCAGCCAAGGGGAGCCAAGGAGGGGAGTTAAAGGAGCACCAGTCCTGACTGTGCCCTCTCTGTTTCTTTGCCCTGCAGGCAGGAAGCTGCCAGGCCTCTTTGGGGACCGCCTGGATCGGCTGGAGGAAGAGGTGAGGCGCCTGTCCCAGTCCTACGACAGCCTGCACACCATGGTGAGCGGCCTGGGGGACCGCCTGCGCCTGGCCATCCAGGAGGACACCACCAAGATGATCGGCTCCCTGATGAACAGCCCGGGCACGCCCGACTCCACAGTCGGCTTCGGCATCATTCCCGACGGGCTGGTGGACGTGGCGGACAAGGCCGACATCGCCACGTACCCCCCCGTGGGGGAGATCCTGACCAAGGTGACGGAGGTGAGCGACGTGCTGAAAAACAAGGCGGACCTGCTGCACGAGGTGCGGGGCATGGTCCTGGACCACGACGGGCACATCAAGCACCTGCTGGAGGCCGCCCGGCCCTCGCCCCTCACCTCCATCGACCTGCTGGAGGAGTACGTGGACACGAGGCTGAGCAATCTGCGCGGGGAGCTGCTCGACGGCTTCGAGAAGAGGCTGGGGAAGATCCAGACCACGTGCGACTTCCGGATCCAAGAGGTGCGGCAGCAGTGCGAGGAGGAGAAAGCTGCCAACCTGCGGCTGCAGCAGACGCTGGACGGGAAGGAGCTGGAGATCAAGAAAGAGATCTCCCAGCTGGAGACCCAGATCCAAGGGCTGACCGTGGTGGAAAGCTGCTGCAGCAACCTGGACTACCTCACTGATCGCATGAACATCCTCGAGAAAGGCCTTCACAGCATCTCCGAGTCCCAGAAGAACTTGCACTCACGGCTGGATGGAGAAATCTCCACTGTCACCCTAGGGAACCTCTTTGAAGGGCGCTTTGAGGACCTGGAAGCCAGGCTCAATGCTACAGAGAGGGAAACGGGGAGCTGCTGCTCCGGGATAGAGGACAGCGTGAGGGGCACAGTGGTGGCAGAGGTGGATGGCATGAGGACTGCCTTTGAAGACAAAATGCAGACCCTGGAGGACAGGTTCATGACCATCGTGGGGGAGCTGAACAATGTCAGTTCTCCCACGGGAATGGACGGAGCGGTGGTGCCCGTGCTGGAGGGCGAGCTCGCCAGCATGAGGAGACGCACAGATGAGGCACTGGAGGGGCTCCAGAATCGCCTTGTCACGCTGGAGAGCACCTGTTCCCTGGGCTGCACCTCTGCCTCCAAAGATGTGGAGACCTTCCGGACCGAGATCGAAGACTGCCAGAGCAAGAACCAGGACCTGCTCCTGCGGATGGACAGCAACTACGACCTCCTGCGCAAGCTGAACGCCACCATCCTGGAGATCCAGCGGCGAATCGAGGAGGAAGCATCGGGGGCTCTGCAAGGGGAGATCACCTTGCTAAAGATCAACCTGAACACTGTGAGCAAGTCTCTGACGGGGCTCAAGGACTCTGTCTCCCAGTACTCGGATACCGTGACGCACGTCAACTCCTCGCTGGACGAGCACGAGCGGAAGATCGAGGACGAGGTGCACTCCATCCAGGAGAGAGTCAACGACCAAGGCTCCCAGCTCTTCTTCAGCAACCGGCGCGTCCTGAACCTCAAGGGAGACCTGGAGCGACTCAAAGCCAGGATTGTCAGCGACCTGAGCTCCTGCAAGAACGTGGCCCATGACCTGCAGCAGGAGATCTCTCACTTCGACGAGCGGGTGGCCCGGGTGGAGCGAGCCTGCGGCAGGCTGGGTGTCCTCACGGGGAGCCTGGACGACATCAGGAAGGAACTGGAGAAACACACGGGCAGTCTGTGGGACTACATGGACCACATGAATGGGACACTGGCTGCCCACTCTCAGGAAATAACGGGACTGAAGGACAACCTGCTTGACTGCCAAGCCAAGGTCTCTGAGCTGGCAGAACAGGTCGGGCACTTGGAAGAGAAGGTGGAGGGGAGGCAGCATTAGCCACACTGCCACGTGTGTCTTCCTTCCCCCCCTGTGAAGGACAGGATTAACTTATATCACACAGACTTGCTCCAATGTGACAACAGTTCGTGGGATAATTTTTTTAATGAAAAGCTGCTACTTTTTCTTTTTTTTTTTCCCCTTCATCTTGTTGGTCCCACTCTTCCATAACTCCGCCGTGCCAGTACTCCCCTCCTGCTCGGCAGCTGTCCTGACCTGGTGCAGCAGTCACTGCCTCCTGGCCGGGGGCGTTGCTTTGGCTCCTGGGCTGATGACCCCACAAGGACAATTCAGGAGGAAGCTGGAGGCGGGAACATTGATTTCTAATTTTAATTTTGCGGATTTATAACTTCTCGAAGAATACAACCCCGTAGTTATCAGTTGAGGAATAGTTTCTCTGACCTAAAGACCACCTGCATCTTAATCCAAGGACTGAGCAAAGCCAGGGCTCCTTACAGGGAACAAAACTCGCCACAGGAATTGCAAATTTCAAAGAACACACGTATTCACACGTCCCCCGGGGAACTGGCTTCCCCTCTCCGAGACGGCAGCTCTCCTTGTGTATGGTAAATCCATTTACACTGCTCCCTCCTCCATGCAGATGCACATGCCTTGTGGAGCAGATGAGGGTATGCATTAGGAAAACACACATATGCATATATATACATATGGTATGTGTGTGGATATTTCTGAGGAATCCACTGTCATGGTGCTCATCTGATTGCAGAGTTTCCTCCTGCTGCCCCGTGTCCCTTGCCATATTCCAAAGAGCCACACTGGGCAGCTAAAACCTGTGGCAGCAGTATTTTGGGGAGAGCCCCACAGTCCCCAGGGCTGCTGTGCTTTGCAGTCCCACTTTGCTGGGCTCTCTGGTTACACCAGGGACTGACCTCATGGGTTATGGAAAACGAGACGTGTCCGTGGGTCTCTGCAGAGACCAGTCCTGCCCTCCAGCTCTGCTTCTCTCCTGTTTTACTGCTTAAACTGTGAACGTGGTTTCTCTCATCTCATCCAGGGGCAGGAGAATTCCAGCTGCTCCAGGGTGTGAGTGCAGCAGTGTGGGAACAGAAGCCTCCCCCTCACATTCCTCTAGCCCATCAGCCCTGGGACCTGCACCTGTGAGAAGAGCTCTGGAGACCTCAGCTCAGCCTGGGAATCCAAATCCCAAGTGATTTACCCAGCTTGACTCTGGTTTCCCACAAGCAGGCAGGCTGGAGGAGGTTGTCCATGTTCCTGAGCAGCCCCAGCCTTGCCCTGCAGACCTGTTGCACACAGAACCTGCCCCTCCCCGGGAGCCCCCATGGGCACCCTCTGCTAACCAGCAACAGGGACTTCATTACTAGGATGAGGAGGAAATTAAAGAGCCTCCATCCAAGCAGCTCTGGCACTTTATAGCAGAGGAACATATTTTTCTATCAGCTCAGCATTTCAGCTCATGGACTCTTCCACGCCATCCAGCCTTCAGCTCCCACCCAGTGCCCGTCACCCTCACCAGGCTGTCCCTGTTCTTTTCCACCACAAGTCCCTCCTTGACCCTCCCTGACCAGCACAAAGCAGCAGCAGCTCCCAGTACAGATGCATCAGGGCACCTTTTCTCCTCCAGAAAAACTGGGTGAGCTCCCTGAAGCATCATTCCAGGCCGGGGAGGACCACAGGGATCCCTGAGTCCAGCTGGCCACATCATGGTCCCCTGATGCAGTAATTAGTTGGTTCCCCTGCCAGAGGAGCATGGGCCATCAGCTGTGGGAGCAGGGAGAGGGGACCTGGCCCCCCACCACTCACCCAGTCCCACCAGATGCTCACAGCACCAGAATCCAGTCTTGCTGCTCTGGGCTTGGCTGATTTGGAGCTATGCTGCAGCTGCTGAGACACTTGTACGGCTGAAGAACAACCCCCAGCTGCTGTTGGGCATCCTGCAAAACCTGCTCTTAGACAACAAAACCTATTTTTTAACTCAGCCCAAGGAAAGAGTCTTAAGTCAACCCTCAGTACTCAGGGGAGCCCTCACCCCACATGAGCAGCCTGCCTGAGCCCCCTCCCCATACCCTCACACCAGGGAAAAAAAGGGCTGCAGCAACCAAAGAGAAAAAGAGCCAAGGGCCAGGCTCCCCCTTCCCCAGCCGGGGTTGGGTTAGAGTGGCTGAACAGGAACAGCTTCCCGAGCACAGAGGGAGCCGGGACTGGCCTGAACAAAACCAGGACAAGGAAGAAGTCTGACCTTCCGGAAAATGGTGCTATGTTTGGACTATTCCTGACTAGTCACTTGAAGCTATGGACAGTTTATATTTCAGTTCTCAGCTATTCATGTTTAAAAAGTGAAAGGAACTTTGTACAAAACTGGGCATTTTTTTTTTTTTTATTGTTTGCAGAAGGAGGAAATGGTGCCCATGGGGTTGTCCTTGCATGGGCAGCTTTCCAAGGCAGTTGATAACTGATACCATTAAAAGGCTGTGTTCTATTGTTTTTAAAACATTTTACATTTGTTCAGATTTTAAAAGCTGAAAAAGTGTTTGTACTGGAAAGGAAAAAAAAATAAAGTATTTCTCGCTGAGGTTTCCAGGATCAAAATGACTTGTGTGGCTTCCAGAAATGGCAGACTCAGAGATTATTTACACTCACACATGGCAGTGAGGGAAGGACAAGGCAGATGCCAGATTGAAGGCACTATTTATTATTGCTATTAGTCAAAAACACTCAAATACCCAACATCTTCCATCCACCTTAATGATTTGGTGGGCAGTTTCACTCCATCATCTACCAAACTGCGGGTAGCTGGACTGTCTGGGAACAGTGGTCATACTGGAGGTAGCAATAGCTATACCAGAGGCTCATCAATAAATATAACAGTGACCAATCACCACCTCTCAAAAAGGGCCAGGCTTTAGAGGGGTTACAAACATTAGAAGAGACCCAGCTTACAGGAGTTTTAGTTCAGCAACTGGAGGTTTTGTAGAGTCAGAGCTCCCTTTTACTCCCTTTAGCCATCATGACCTCTATTACAAGTGCAAAATGCCTGAGCAGAAACGGGGAAGAGCTGCAGCTGGAGCGTTCAGTCCTGGCAAAGGACACCCAGGACACCCTGGGTCAGACCTCCACAGGGAATGGGGTTAGAAGGCAGCATCCAAGTCAACATCAGGCAGTGGAGGTCTCCAGTAGGAAAAGTGGCTGTACTCTGGGCATGCCAGACCAGCTCTCCCACTCTGTTCCAGGGGAGGGAAGATGAGCTCCACCAGCTCCGACAGCCGCTCGTACCTGTGGGGGTGAGAAAGTTGCACAGTGGAGCAACTGGGCATTTGTTGGCTCTTCTACACCCCAAGATGCTTCTCTGGGTTACAGAGAAGTTATCCCAAGGATGCCAAGGAATAAGCACATCGCTTACGTTGACTTGTTGTTCTTGGTGAGCTCCTGCATCAGCTCTCCCCGCGGGTTGACGGTGAATATGCGGCTCTCCGGCAGCCCCACCTGCTTGTACGCGTAGACATCCTGCCCAAGGGAGGCCAGCGTGGCGTGAGGGCTGCAGGGAGGCACCACCCCCAGCCGAGCCCACCCTCTGCCCCAGGAGACCCCCTCACATTGGGCCTGTTCCCAAAGGCTGCGTGGAAGGGACACTTTGTGGCAAACAGGTTTTGGATGTCCCGCAGGCAGGCGATCTTGAACACCTCTGGCTTCTTCTCAATCACCTCCCTGCAGCACAAGACCCGTGGTCAGAGAGGCATCAGCTGGCCAGGGCTGCAGGCAGCCAGGCTGTCTGGGGCTCAGGGAAGTGCTTTGGAAGGCAAGAGAGGTTTTGTGCATCAGGAGTTCCACCAGGAAGCCCCGGAGGGGGGCAGGCAGCTCTCCCGCTGCCTCACAAAAAGGCACCGTGTGCCAAGGAGGGCAGAGCAGTCTGAGGCTGGGACATCCCTCAGCACTGAGCTGGGAAAGGGGTGCTGCCCCCAGGGATGGGGGTGCAGGAGAGGACACAGCACCTGTGGAAGGCAGAGAAGAGGCTGCTGGGGGCGAGCAGGATGGGGCCCCTGGGGAGGGCACAGCCTTGCTCGTTGACCCATTTGAGGTAGCCTTTGGTGATGTGGGCCATGCCAATCGCCCTGGCCGAGCAGTAGAGGAACTTGTAGCCATTCCTAGAGAGAGCACAGGGAGCCCCTCTGAGCCGTGTCCTGGGCAGGGCATTCTCCTGGAGGAGGAGAGCACCCGGCCTCAGCCAAACCTGTTCACCCCTCCAGCAAGCACAGTGGTTCCACAAACAATGCAAATGCCTTACCCAGAGACCTGAGCTAAGCAGGTTTGGTGGGCACCTGCCTCACACTGGGGGTCCCTGCACCACCCTCCAGGCTCTCCCCAGCAGCCACACAGGCACCCAGCTGCACAGCACCCACTGCTTCTCAGCACCCACACACCCAGCCAGGACCCCCAGCAGCACCTCCATCCCACCGGGCTGCCTGGGCATTAGGGGGCTGTACCCAGCCCTCACAGGCCTCCAGGGCAGGGCAGTCAGCCGAGGGGGGACCAGGGTGGCCGGAGGCAGCAGAAATGCTGGTCCTGTCCCTGCAGCCCTGGGAGCGTGTCCCTCCCGGGGCCAGGACCAGCCATCCACGGGCCCACAGTGCCTCTCAGTGGCCACAGGGGCCAGGGACTGAGCTGGAGGCTCTGCAGGGACCCGCTGCTAGTGTCACCCCTCGGGGTCTCATCCCCTGGGCTTTGGGAAGCAATCGCTGGGCACCCAGAGGGGCACCGGCACTGCCCCGGGGCTGGCAGTGCTGGGGACCCCCGTGCCACCACTCTCAGCTGTGACCCTGGGTGGTCTCACCACCGGTGCTCAGCTACACCTCCCAGCAGAGCTTCCACCGACACACTGCTCCCAGGGAAGGCAATGCCAGCATCTGCTCCCAGAGGGCCCCCTGCTTTCACCCCCCCATCACGAAGGCAGCACAGCAGCCATCCCTGACAGCAGATAACGAGGCTGTTCTGCCCAGCGTCAGTGAGTAAGAAGCCCTGGCTCTGACTCCACCAGTTTCCCACTTCCCCTTGGCCTCAGTTGATCCAATACCTACAGGTGGATTTTGTGGAAGAGTTTAACAATCCCGTGATGAGTCCAGTCTTTACCCAGATGAGGCAAGATGTGCCCAAGAGCATCTGACCTAGAAGGAAAGGACAGCGGGTCAGTGTGATCCAGCCTGGTGGGTATCCATCCCCAGCACCGTGGGGCTTGTGGTCCCTCCTGCCAGCCTAGGCAAGCCTTTAAAGGACACTTTCCCCTAACAGGGGAAAACAGGGGGTGTGGGGTGGCAGAAAGGCCTTTTACTTGGTGATGGTGCCGTCGATGTCCGAGATCACCACCTTGTCGTCCCAGTTCCACAGGTAGATGGTGGCCTCGCAGCGACACGTGCCCTGGTACTGAGTCGTCACACTGAATGCCACCTCGTTGGGGCCATCCTGCAGATTCAACCTTTCCTGTGGCACAGGGGCAGCAAAAGTGTTACAGCGGCACCAATTCACACCAGACCAAGGCTTGCCAGAGGCCAGACTGCCACCCAGCCAGGCCAGAGACCCCAAGCCTCTATAGGGTGACCAACCAGGACAAAATACTTGGATGCCCCATGAAGACATGAGTCAGGAGTAGAGAAATCCTGTTTAAGGGTTGTCTCACCCCTACACACACACAGAGGAGTAAATACATACAATTTGTTCAGAGGAGAGCCGCAGGGATTTCTTGTAGGTTGGCAGAGGCTTCTGAGCAGGGGCCTCTATTGCCAACATGTCCCTAGAGTGCAGGGTCTCATCATCACTGGATGACCCTTCTTCCTCCTGCCTACACAAAGAAGGGAAGAGCTTAGCTGGACTGGGGTCAGCCGGAGTCTTAACAGAGCTTTTTGCTCCCTAACATTAGATAAACTTGGGAATAACTGGTCACTTAGGAGAAGAGATAAAGAGCATGCAGACTTCTGAAGGTGAGCTGGGAGGGAGGCACTCACCTCTGCTGAGCAGAGTCAGGCTGCAGCATCCCCTCATTGGCTTTCCCTGGCTTTGGCTGCTTCTGCAGGCAGAGAAGGGTGTGCTGGTTTTGGCTGGGGTAGAGTTAATTTTCTTAACAGTGGCTGGTATGGGGCTGTGTTCTGGATTTGTGCTGAACAGTGTTGATAACAGAGATGTTTCTGTTATTGCTGAGCAGTGCTTATACAGAGCCAAGGGCAGGAACAGGGGCTGCTTTGCTTTTCTTCCACTTGGAGCAGTGATGCCAGAAGAGGCAGCAATGCTGCCCCTGCCTTCACGAGGACACTGCCCATGGAAGGGGAAGCACAGCCTGGTGCTGTGGCAGGGCAGGGAGAGCAGGGAGCACACTGGTACCTGGGGACCTGGCATGAGGGGCACGTGACAGGAGGTCTCACCATTACAAGGTCCATGTTACTGCATCACCAGGCGCTGTTCTGCTGCTCAGGGATTAACAGACCCAAGGGGACAGGAGCAACCTTCAGAAGTCACCTTGTTAGGTCCTGGATGTCCTCCTATTCAGCCCCACGCCATCCCCAGGACCCTGCTGCTCTCCTACCCCCACCTCTGCCAGTCACCAGAATGATGCCTGTCCCCTGGGGACATGGTTGTCACATCCACTGCCACAAACACACCTCCTCTGCTGGGAATTCTCTCCTCCTCCAGAACCACCACCTTCTGCCTTTCTTGGGCATCTTCTCCTTCACCAGGTCGTCAATGATGCTCTGTGAACATGGCAGAACATGGATAATGTCAGTCCTCAGCCCAGGGAGGCTCAGCCCAGGATTCTCAGGTGCTGCTGAGAACCATGGCCAGAAAATGTGTCATACCACTGACCTCAGGAATGCTCCTGTGGAAAGCCTGCAGGGACAGGACCATGGGAGCAGCCACTGCCCAGTTGTAATACCTGGAAAACCAAGAGGGGTGGGCACATCCCCACTCCTGGAGCGAGTGCTCTTTGCAGATCACCAACCTGCAGCACTGCCAGCTCCCCTCCCACAGCTGCTGCAGTACAAACATGCTCTGGGATGGAGTCACACTCCTACAGGAGGGTTTCTGTAGGGGCCAAGGGACCACACTGTCCATCATGGGGTGAAGCAGCAGGAAGAGCAGGCCACTCACTTGTTGTTGATCAGTATCACCAGGTTCGGGTCATTGACGAGCCTTGGATTCTCAGCAAACTGCTGGTAGGAAACCATGTGCTCCATGAACTTCTCTGGTGGGACAGAGGCTGTGTCATGCCACTGGGGAATATAACGGATTTTGGGGCTGCAGGGTCCCCCTCCCCTCTCACCCACCGTGGGAGATCTGCTTGCTGCCCCTCAGGCCCCCGCACAGCGACAGGGCGACTGCGGGCGTGGAGTCACAGTCCGGGGGGGTGTCAGCAGGCAGGCTGGGTGGCAGCTGGACACACAGAGGGTGGCTGGGCTCTGTCACAGACCTCAAACTCTGCTCTGAGTCCCCAGTGTTTCTTCTCCTGCTGGCAGTGACATCAGACAATAGTTTTAAACATACCTCCGTCCTTTGTGCCAAGGGAATTGCTCAAGAAGGTCTGAGCTTGGCCAGCTGGGGCAACTCATACCTCCTGGGGAGATAGAGAGACACCTGCTTCTCTTCCAGCTTGGAGAGCTCTTCCAGGTAAATGTCACTGGGACCCAAGTGAGGACTTCTTTTGATGGATCCTCAATGCACAGACAGAAGAGAGAGAGAGCTTAGCTGAATCACCTTTCCAACCACTCCACCATCTCCTGAGAGAGTGACAGCGTTTTCCTCCATCATATCCATGTATCATACAAACAGGGCAGCCATTTTCCTACTGCAAAAGCTGCCTTAAATCAACAGCAACAAAACTACCTCAAGACACATGCACTGGCAGAATCCTTAAATACACTGTCAAGGGAGGGAACATAAATGCTTCCCTGAGATTTTGCCCTTGACTTAGCATGCTCAGGATAAAGACAAAGTCAGGCCAGGTGCTGCCAGACACTTCAAGTTAAGGTATGGCCTGTATTGTGGAGAAATCTTCTAAGCAAGCAAAAGCAGAGACATCCAAGGATGGACTTCAGGGAACACAAGGCAAGAAAGCCTTCCTGGGAGCTGGGTGGTCACTGAAAGCTGGAAATCTGAGGGATGAATCTTCAAAGCAAAGGAGCTGGTTGCACACAGAGAGGGCAAAGCAAAGCAAGCACAGCACACCTGCAATACCCAGGGCAGTCATGAGGGAGTTACAGTCAATGAATAACCCAGGCCCTCATCCGAGACAGACACCTGCAGGCTCAAACACCACTTCCAGCTGCACCAGTCCCCCTCTCACCTTGGCTCCTCTGCCTCTCCAGCTGCTGCTCAGGGCCTTCTGAGCCCACCTGCCTTCGAGCAGTGGCTTCCTCAACAGGCTCCACAGCCGGCTGAACCTCTGGCACAACACTCCCATCTTCCTCCTGTTTCTCTTGTGGGACTGAGGAGGCTCCCAACAATCTCTCTGCCCCCTCAGCACTAGGGATGCTGTTCCCATCCTGGGGTGCAAGTGTTGTCTCAATAACAGACACAGCCGAGGAACAGGGTATGTCCTGAGGTCCTGCTGGAGCTTGGATCCCCTTCCAGACTTTCAGAGGTGGCAGCAAGAGGGTTTGCCTCATCTACTGGGACCAGTGTTGTAGAGATGGAGGTTCTTGCAGTAGCAATGGTCTTCGTGGACTTGGCTGGTTCAACTCGTTCCAATTTATTCACCTCAAGGAAAGCAGAAGAACAGGTTTGAGGATGGGAAGTTGCCCAAAGCATCAGGCAGAGGGGGATAACTGCCCTAAGGCTGACTGGCCACAGACTCCTCCTGCTTTCTGCAGCTGCTAGGGAAGATCAAGAGCAGGGACTCACCTGAGGGAGCCTTCCCCAGGTCCACTGCATGTGGGATTCAGTTCCTAGAGCAAAACTGTCCTGTGATTTGATCTCCAGTTCAGAATCACTTTTGCGAGAAGACAGATGGCTCAGCATGAAGCTGCAAGAAGAGAAAGTGATATGGGACCTCACCAATAGCACAGCCCCATGGTTTCCTATCAGCACAAGGACATTTAGGACCAAGAGCCATGTAAGGCTGGTTTCCCATAAAGTCAGTTCTGCTCCATAAGACTGTCACTCACAAAGGACCAGGACCTATGGAAGCTGAGGCCCAAGGAAGCAAAGTGCTATGCCAGCAGTTGTCCAGAGCAGCTCAGGAGCAGAGAGCCCTGTGCATGCAGGTTTCTCACATCTGTGACCGTGGCCACAAGTGTCCCTCACAGCCTCTGAGCTTTCCTCCAACCACACCATACCAGGCCAGGAAAACCCTCCTCTCCTGTTGTCTTCCTGTTATCTTTCCCTGTACCACTTTCCTAGCCATGAGGCCTGTCCCCTGCTCTCAGCAGAGCTGAGCAGAACACCTTTCCTCTGTCCATTACCTGTCCACAGAGGCCAGCTCCCCATCTGAGTGTGGATGCACACCTGGGGACTGCAATGACAGGGCTTCTTCTTCAAGGGCATCAGCCAAGGATGAACACCCTGCACCACTGCAAAGAGGGAAAAGGGTCAGTTGTGCTACTCTCAGGCACCTTTCCAGAAAGCTGGCAATACAGCTTCACCATTCCCATTGGCTTCCTACCCTGGAATGGGCTGGGCTCTCCCTGGAAACACTTTCCTCCTGTTTCAATATTGCTGAGCTTCACCAGGTGAACCCACGGGCTTGACCCACTGTGCCCAGACCAAGCAGCTCACCTTGGGGCTGGCAGCCTGCATGGCTCCTCCACGGGCATCTTGCCTTTGGTCTCATCACAGCTCTCAGACTCTGAGCCCAGCACCTCCTTCCTCTTGGCCTTTCTCCTGCGCCACCTCCTCCTGCACTGGGTCACTTGGGCACCAGTGGCCTCCTGCCCGTGGGACGGCTGGGCAGAATCCTTCAGGCTCTGCTCCGTGGGGATGGGGGACGTGCAGAGGCAGAAGGGGATGCTGTCCTGTAACAGGGATGGGGAAGAGCCCATCAGCTCCCTCTAGCATGCCCCTTTCCAGCCTGGCAGCTCCCTGCTCTCGCCTATGGAACATACTGCACCAGCACAACCAACACCGCCGAGCCCACAGCTCAGGGGCGGGTTTGTGGCCTGCCCTAAAAGGAAAGGGTTTGTACATAAAACTTGCAAATAAAAGAAGGGTGATCCAGCCACAAGCTAAAGACATCTCTAACATGGGCAAGAAGAGACAGGCAGGAGATGGCACCATGAGACCAGAATAACAAAGGCTGAAAATGGGATTCAGCTCTAGAGCCCTCTCTGCTCCCAAACCCAGCCCAAGCTAGCAGTGACCACAAGTCAGCCTGGGAGAAGAGCTGCCAAGATTTCTGGAAGGCACAACTAGTCTCATCCCACTTCCCAGTGGAGTGGGCAGCCTGCCACAGCATCTGTCTCATTCTTAACCCTGTCACAAGATCCCCCAAAAGGCCAAGCTCCAAGACATCTGCCTGGCTGGCCAGCAGCCATGCCCATTGATGGAGATCAGTCTGGGATGCAGATATGTGGTCTAGCACTCCCTCAGGGTGCCCCACTGCCCAGGTCCTCTACACTGGTTGCAAGGTCCTTTGAATAGGAACCTTTCCAGACACAGAAAACATCAAAAGGGACAATGGAGTCACTCTGTGGAAGAGCAGCATTCCAAACCCGGTCATTCCACCTCAACTCTGCACTTCCACACAGCAGAACACAGACCTGCAGCACCTCTACATCACCAACCTCATTCTCCTCTGACTCCTGGACAAAGAAGGCCTCTCCATTGTCTCCCAGCTTCATGTGCAGATCCACAGGCTCCCCGTTGATTTCAATGTCAACCTAACAAGGGGCAGAAGCAGCCTGTCCATCCAAACCCACTCTTCCACTGGAGCACAGGGGCACTTCCCCAGGGAGGGGTTGGGTTGGAGTTGCTTGCAGGACTGACAGCCACACAGCCTTTGAGGTCAGGGACCACTCCCAGATTTCCTGGGAAGCACAGTCCTTCCTGGAAGAGGATGGGTTCCATTAGGGGGCATCCCCTCCAAATCTTGGCAAGCACTCCTTTCAGTAGGGTTCCCATTCCCCTCAAACAAAGCTTTTCCACAACCCAAGGGTTATAGAAGATACTGGGTCTGGAGACACCAGAGAGGAAGCACAGCCCCATGGAAAGGGATCACTTACCACCTTCTCCCTGGAGCGCAGCACTCCCAGTTTCCCGAAGCGCACGTGGAATGGGGAGCACTTGAAGGAGTTATCGGGCTGCCTCACCACCACCACATCGATGGAGCCTGTCAGGGTGGCAGGGTTCAGGTCCTGGTAAAGCTCCTTCACCGTGACAAAGACGGACCCAGCCAGCTGCCCCACGTAGTTCATGGTCTGAGACTGCAAGGGAGAGACAGGAATACACTCAGGTAGGGGAAGAGAACTCCAGCAGTAAAATTTCCTCTGTGAGAGTCATGTCATGGCTGCAAACACAGCCCCATCACAGGCACAGGTCAGCCTCTATGGAAACTGAGGCAAACACCTGAAGGGCCAGGGCCTTCAGCCAGGACCTCTGTGAGCACCAGAAAACAGGACAGAAGCCAGAGCAGAGCATCCAGCTTGGAGGAGAGATGCCTTTGGCATTGGGATACACCATCACATCTGCCCCTTGTAGGGCAAATACAGCCTCACAGCAACACTGTGCAATTGAGCTGTCAACATCCCACTCAAACAAGTATTTGATTGGCAGGAGACCTCCTGCCCTGCACTGTCCTTAAAAATTCCCAAACAAATCAAGGCAGAGAGGTGGGAAGTCCGAGCTGCTGCATACACCACACACTCCCTTTGAACAAAATCCAAACCCAACATTTCCCACTTGGAAGGGAAGGCATCGCAGAACTGGCCAGACATGGCCCTTGTTCAAGCCAGAACTTCCCAGTGTCCACATCTTGGCCCCAGCCACCACCATCCATCTTTCCAGGCAATCCCAGCAGAGGGGCCGTGCTGCCTGGAGGGCACCTGGACAGCTCTGCCACGCTGCTTTCACAAGGCTGCACTCCAAGGTTGTACAGCTCCTGGTTTTCATTAGCAAGAACACGTGGAAGGAAAGCCTTGCCTGCTTCCTGCTCATCCCCTTGCCCACTGACATCCTCCAGCTGCTCGCTCCCTGAGTGGAGACAACTCCTCTCCACCACGCTGGAGGCCTGGCTGTAAAGCTGGAGATCCACATGGTCCGTGCTGGGCTCACAGGACAGCCGTGCCTCCAGCCACACAGGGTGGCACACATGCTCTCATGCAGCGCCTCTTCCTGCACAGCCCCACCACTGGCAGCTGCCTCTGGTCAGTGTGATGAAATCCCTGGAGCATTTCCTTGCAGATCTGTGTCGAGGTGCTGGCTCTTGTTCCCAGGCCTCGGGCCAGAGAAGCCCCTTGCTCCGTTTGCTCAGCACTCAGTGGGACAGCGGCTGTGGTGTCAGCACGTCACACCAGGGGCTGGGAAGCATGGAGGCCAAGCCCAGCTTCCCCAGCAGCCAGCTCTGCAGCCCACCTTGTCCCAGGCAGAGCAGGAGGGCACAGGGTGACCGTGGATGAACTAAAGGAAAGCTCTTGTGTTGGCAGCACAGCCAACATGGTGTGGTGTCCCCAGGGGCTCTCAGCACGGCCCGCAGTGCACACTCAACCCGGGGCAGCTGTGGAGAGTTGGTTCCTTACCCAAAGGGATGAGGACAAGCACGTGGCACCTGACGAGCCCTCTGCCCCAGCAGGTACCCAGCCTCTCCGATCCGTTTTGCACAAGCTCAGCCCTGTCCTGCTCCCAGACATCCCTCCTGGAAGGCAGTCTGTGTGGGCAGACGTGGTTCCTGCTCCATGCTCTGTCCCCCACCTCTCCCTGACAGCTGGGAGTATGCCCAAAGCCAGATCCTCCCCAGGGGATGATGGCAGGGAAGTGCTAGCCAGCTCCCGAAGCTTCGGTGCCTCCATCAGCTCTGCTGCGAGTGGGGCCAGGGTCACGGGGCCACCACCAACCTGCTGAGCCCAGCTTTCCCAGGCACTGCTGCCGGGGCGGGCAGCCCTCCAGCTGCCTTCCCTGCTGTGCTGCAGGGCCTGGCAGCAAACAGGAGAGCTCCTCGCTGCACAGGGCGGGGAGGAGGGCTTGGAGGAGGAAAATCTGGCTCATCCCAGTGTTCCCAGGGCAGTGCTGATGGTCTCCCCGCTGGGATGTACAGTGACACAGACCTAAAAAGTACATAGGGAAAATCCTGGGCAGCTAAACCTACACGGCCCATAGGATTTGGGGTGGGGGCTTGGAAATTGTCCCCAGAAACAGCTCCACACTGAGCATCACCATCGTGGTGAACACAGGGTGCAAGAGCTCAACAGCAAAATGTGCCAGAGCCACGTCCCTGTGCAGAGCTATGTCCCGTCCTTGCCTCAGTGGGCATCTGCCCCCTCCTCAGGCATCTCGTTGCTGGGGACCACTCAGTATGGCTCTGGGACAGGTTTCAGCTCACCGAGTTTGACTCCCTGGGCCTCCCCGAGGATGGCTGGAGGAAGAGGCTTCTCCCCGGCAGGCCTCAGCCTCCCCCCGATGGAGCAGGCCCGTTAGGGAGGGGAAAGGCAAGTTTTACTCTGGAAAGAGATCAAGAGCTGGACAAGAGAAAGAGAAAGGGGTTTCAAGTCACACTCAATAAATAAGCCCCTAGAGGAATGGGGCATCTCGAGCCCTGAGCCCCCCAAGCAGCAGGAGCACAGCCCTGCAGAGGGCGGAGGGGTCGGTCCTGCCCCGTGCAGGCAGCACAGCTCCCCTCCACCTCCACCCGTGACAGCCTCCCAGAACAAGCCGGGGGGCTTGCTGTCACCAGCCCGCTCTGCTCCCGGGCCACCCGGCCAGCAGCACTCCCTGCCCGCATCCACCCTGCCATCCAGCCAGCCAGGACCTTCCCCGTTTCCCGGGAGCTCGGCACCCCCGGCTCGGGGCCAGAGCGACCCCCGGGCCGCTCCGTGCCGGCAGCGCTCACCTCGGCCCCTCCTCTGCCCGCTGCCTCCTTCCCTCCCCTGAGCCGGGGCAGGGCCGTCTCCCCAAGTCCCGCAGGCCCCGGGCCGGGGCTCCCGTGTGCCCGGGAGGGCTCTGGGAATGCGGAGCGGGGACGGGGGAGCCGCTGGCACCGGCTGCCCTTCAGCAGGAACAAGGACGAGGCATGAAGGGAGAGAGGCGGTGGCCAAGCCCCAGGGGCTCCTCTGCCCTGTGTCATCTCCAGTAGGGTGGGAAAAGAGAGCACGCTGAAAGAAAAGCAGCAGCTGGAAGAAAACGGAGGCTCCCTGGATCTCAGTGGGCCCCACAGCAGTGGGGAAGCGATGGAGGAATAGCCAGGTGGACTCAAGTGAGAAACTGAGGTTTTGTGGGGGGGCTTTTTATGCCCCTGGGACAGGGGTGTGGCTGGTGGGGGCTCTGCCACACGGCCACCCAACAACCCCTGTGCAGGTGATTCTCTGGCACCCTCTCTGCTGGGTTTTGGAGTGATGGGGATTGAGTGGTGGGAGCTCCTGGTCTGCATAAGACCTGGTGGCACTTTGGGGATGAAGGGTCTTCTGCTGGTGTGTGTGCAGGGCTCTCTCATCCATCAGTTGTGGAGCTCACCTTGCTCCATGAAAGCAGGGAAGCATCAAAGCTGAAGAGTGGCTGCTTAGGACCTCTTTAGTCCCTGAGAAGAAGGGTCCAAAACACCCTCACTGGTCCCAGCCAGTGGGCTGATATGCAGAAATGCCACAGTTCATTCCCATTCTCTGTTACCTCCCTGTGCCTCAGTTTCCTCAGCTGTGCCATACTGGTAAGGCTGATGGCAGTGGGTGGCATGGAGATCCCCCCTGTGCCCATCCAGTGCCGAGAACAGCCTGGGCATGAGGTCCCAGACCCAACACAGGAACTTTCCTGAAGACTGTGACGAATCAGCTGAGGAAGGAAGCCTGTTTTCCAGCAGTTTAGTGTTTCTGAGAGCTCTGCCCCTCAGTGAAATTGGACTGAAAGCAGCTATTGTGGGTGGCCAGGCACGGCTGCGGTCCCCGAGGAGGGTGGGCTGGCACTGCCACCAAACCCCGCAGCCCAAGGCCAGGTCACCAGGCACTCATGCCCAGTGGGGAAGGAGCCTGCTGGAACCTCCATCAAGACACCTTGGGATGTGACACCTCAGGCACTTTGTCCTTAGACTAGTGCTTGTTGATGCCACCGATGTGGGTCTCACCCAGGGCAGTGGGTTACACCCCAAAAGCCCTGGGGCTGTAACACAAACCCCAGGGCTGGAACACGAAAGCAAGGGCAGATCCGGGCTGCAGATGCCTGGTAACTAGTCAAAAGTGCTGCAGAGGACAGGCACGTCAGCAGAGGACATTTCAGCACAGGACATCATTTCTTCCTCAGCCAGCTGAGTGCATCACCAGGTAAGCATGGAGAGGGAAAGCAAAGCCAGCAGAAGCATATGGGCAGCTCAGCCTTGCTGTGGCTCCAAGCTACCATTTCCTGGAGATAGGGATGAGCTCCTGGCATTCAGGCACTCTGCAGAAGTACCTTCCCCATCACTTACCTCCAAGGCTCCTTGTCCAGCTGTTTTTTCCCACCAGCCCTTATGCCTGGCTCCCAACACACTGATCTTTGCTTGTCCCCCCATGCCCCTGCAGCAGATCCCCAGCTGTGCCATGGCTGTGCTGGGTGATGGCTGTTTGTTCCTCCATCCTACCCTGCAATCCGGCCCTAGGGCCTTTTACTTCCCTCTTCTTTCCTTCTTTCTCCTCCAAAAGCTTAAAGCACTTTTAATTGCCATGGTAATTTTTTGCAAAGCCATAAAATTATCCTTGGTTCCTGCCAGCTGCTTTTCATACTCCCCTTACTCCCCTTTCCTCTTTTTTGGAAAATGAGCTCTGCAGTTCCGTCACTCCCTGGGCTTGTAACCCTGAGCACCCCAATTTCTCTGTGCATCCTCTGCATCCTTCCACAGGAGCTGCTCCAGTGGGGAGAGGTTTCTTCCTCCTTTTGGGAACTCCCCAACACGCAGATGTTTGCAATGACTCTTTGCAAAACAAGACAGATTTTCTTATTAGTCAGCCGAGATGCAATATTTTCAGCTCCTTGGATTCCAAAAAGCTCACACCCGCATCCATCCTGTCAGTTTTTGTCCTGCATCCCTGCATCCCAGTGCTCCCCACCTGTCCTGGATCACAGCCTTCACCCTGCACAGGGCAGCACTGCCTCGTGGGCTGTGCCATCACCACAGTGCTAGAACACAACCCCAGCGTTTCCAGGGCCTCTCCAGGAAAACTCCATCCATGCACTTGGCAGTTGGGAGCACCCAAGGCACTGGCTGCCCAGGAGACTCCTCAATTTTCCTCTGTCCCAAAAAAACAAGTTGTGCCTTCAGTCACAGGGTGGGAGAGGGCACAAGCTGTGTCAAACACAGGCTTGTTTTTCCCCCTCTCTGTATTTCAGCAGTTGCTGCAGCCTAGCCAGGCCACAGCCAATTCTGCAGCTGCCTCCAAGGTGGGAGTTGATGAGGGTTTTGCCTCCCTCAGTCATCACATTATTTCTCTGTGATTTTCCCAGCTTCTTGATCTCATCTTTGAGCAGCCTGGCAGCCCCCTGGGATGCTTCTCCTTGGATCCTCACCTTGCTGTCTGCCTCTTCATGGGCCTGGGGGGAAATGTCTGGAGGGAGAGTGGACAATCCAGCCGTGAGACAGATTCAGGAAGCTGCTCAACCTTCCTGCTGGCTGACACCTCTGATGGCTTAGCTCAGCAGAGATGCTGCAGAGGACAGGAGGGGAACTGAGCTGACAGAAAGGGTCTCGCTTGGCTGTGTAGACACAAAGCTGGGGCTGGGACAGGAGAAATCCCTCCAGTCACAGTGCTCAGACAGTAGCTGGGGACACCAGCACTGCTGGATGCCTGGAAGCCCATCTGCAACATTGAGGTCATCTTCCCACCCCTGAGCCAGGAAGCTGTGTTATCCTGCTCCCTTTCTGCCACTGAAGGGATGCCCCAGGACCTCACTGCTCTGTGGCACAATCCTCTGAGGGCCACTAGCCTGGCCCCTTTCTCCCTGGCTCTGCTGTCTTTACCTGGGCCAGTGTCCCCCTTACACGGGGGTTTCCTGAGATGCTGGCACAGTCCTGGCAGTGGCCAGGCAGGCTGAGGCACAGCTGCAGTTGCCTTTTCCTGAACACTGTGCTCTGAGCAGGATGCTGCAGGCACCAGATGTTTGGTGAGCTGGGCCACCCAGATGTGGGATTGACAGCAGTCAATCAACCCATCAGCTCCAAGGTCCCTGTGCCAGGCAGCTCCCTGGAGCAGTTCCCTGCTGCTGGCAGGGCTGTCACTGCTCCCTGACATCCCTCTGCTGTGACCCTCCAGGGAATCCCTGCCAGAGCCTGGGATGTGAAAGGGCTTTCCTGTTATCAGGGACACGTCTCCCAGCAGCGAGAAACAGCCTTTGAAGAGCAAAGGGATCTCTGGGAAGGCTGGCAGAGCTTCCTGACCCTCAGCTGGCCAGGCAGGGGCTTCCTTCCCTGGATCAACAAAGAGCTCCAGAGGCTTGTGAAAGGGGTGATTCAGCAAAACAGGATGACAGCAGAGGCAAAACCACCAAGTCAGCACAGCTGGATGGGATGAAGTTCCCATCCTGTGAAAGCCATGGGGAGCATGGCTCAGGTGTCCTACTCCCTCAGGGTGGGGGCAACTCCTGGAAGTCCAGCTGTTCTGCATGCCAGCCCTGGAGCCAGGAATACAGCTGGAAAGCAGTGGTGTTGTTTTTTTGTTTTGTTTGGGTTTTTTTTCGTTCTTTCCCATTCCCAGAAAGATCAAGTCAGACTGGCCTGGCATGTGATGGAGTGGGTGGGAAAGCCATTTTGCCTAAGAGAAGGAAATGCCATCCTCAGTCACCAATCAAAAGCATTGAAAAAGCTGGATTACGGCCGCAGGACTGGTTGAAACCACCCGTTCTGGTTTAAAAACATGCTCTGCTGATTTGGCTCCTAGTTTCTGACCTGTTGGAAGTTCACATTTCTTTTGTAAACACAAAGGGTTCAAGCTCGCTTAAAAAGAAAAACCAGAAAGCTGCGATTCCCACACAGTCATGTGGTTCCAAGAGCCAGGGCTTGCAGAGAAATCCAGCCACACTCTCAAACTGAGAGAGCTGAGAGCCCCAAGCACAAAATGGTCCTGCAAAATGAAGGCTCTGAACTGAGAGCGCTCAGCTTTTTTGTCCCAGCTGCCGACAGTCCAGCCGGGACCTAAAAGCACTCTAAAGCCAACAGCTTTAGATAAGTGACATCGTATTTACATCAATCAACTGTGAGCAGAGTCTGACCATCAGCCCTGAATCCAAGAAAAGTGGGATGACGTGCACATTTAGGCAGCTGGAAAATCTTTTATCTTTTGTCCAAAAGCCGGTGTCTGATTTCAAGAGAAGATCTTTCCAAGCCACGCTTTATTTAAGAAAACAGTCGGTGCTGGGCTCTATCTGGCGGCAGGCTGTGAGTGATGCTGCCAAAGCCTGGCGGTGCCGTTCCGGGCTCAGGTTGGGACACCCCGAGCACCTGCCCGGCCCGGGGCGCCCGGAGCCGCTCCCGCAGGCTCCGTCCTTCCGCGGGTGGGACAGACCCTGCTCCTCGGGATGGGGCTGGGGCTGGGGAGGGGACCGTCCCTGCCGCTCCAGCGGGAGGGAAGGGCTGCCCTTCCCGGGCTGTCCCGGACAGCGCTGACGGGCATCACGGACGGACCGCACTCCCGGGAGCGCTCCGAGCCCTGAGCTCCGCCGGTGCCGATCCCGCTCCTG